GAATGAGATTCATACATTTTGTTCCCTTTTTACGCACACAGTTGTCATCTACAATCTATATCACCACTTGGGAGGGCTAGGGCAGATGAGAGAGCCTTTTCTTCTACATGTTCCATGACAAGATTGGCTAAGATGGTGCCGACAGGGGATCCCCTTGGACAACCAAGAATTTGTTGGAAATGGCTGCCTTTGAATACAAAGAAATTCTTGTCAAGGATGAACTGTGGAAGTGCCATTTGGTCAGAGTCCAGTCTCCCTTCAACAACTTTGATGGCCAGGTAAGTTGGAATGCAAGTAAATGGTGACATGATATCAAAAGACACTAGAATCTTGTCAGGATCTACTGACAAGGTGTGAATCCTTTCAATGAAAGATGCACTGTTCTTGACTGTGTAGTTAGTATTCTGAAAAGGTGACAAGACGTTGGCACGGTATTTGGATAGTTCATATGTGAGAAATCCAAGGGCACTCATAATTGGTCTGATTGGGACGTTTTCCTTGTGGATTTTAGGAAGGCCATGAAATGATGCTGGTGAGGAATTGGTGCCATGAAGTTTGGAGTAGAGCTTTTGTTGCAACTGTTTCTTGCAACTTTCATGTGAGGTTTTTGGAGAGATTTTCCTGTGCTTATCTTGAAAGGGCTCAGCCCTTATCAGCTGGTAAAAATGTAACAAATGAAGAGGTGGATGCTAATTGTTGATGGCAGAGGTGATTGAAGCTCTGATAAGGTCTTTTCGGCATCAGAGAGCTGATCTAGGTTGGTTTCAATTGAGGAAACAATTTTAGACACTGGCAAATTCTTAGGAGTGATAGCAAAATTGAAGTTGAGGCTTAATGCTGAATACTTGCTTCTACAAGGCTGCGCTCTAAGAAAAATTGAAGAGAACCCAGTGCTCAGAAACTGTAAAATCCGGGGTACCCAGCATATGCTTTTTATGAAAAAACTAGGATTCCTGGGTCGCCCAACAACAAATGTAAGGCACCAGGGGCCAACGGACACTGCTAGACCACAGCCCTGTATTGAGCATTGTGAGATCCTCCAAGAGCTCATGAAGTTAAAATGAGATTCACAAGGTGAACTTAAACATGTTCTTTTTATGACAGTTGATTCAATTTAACAATAATCATTGATACTTGTTGCAATTTCAGGAAAATTAGAGTGAGTAATATCTAAGAAAACTTTAGCCTTTGGAAGGCTGTCATTTTTTAAGAGGTGGGAGAGCTATTAATCCATGTAATAAATTTTTTAAATTTTAAATATAAGATGAAATTTGAAACCAAATAATATGGGAATTGTTGTCTTCAATATTGTGCTTGACACTTTCATTGCAACTTGGAGTAGCTACCCTCTTTAGATAACTTTGGTTTTGTAATTGAAGGTGGTATTGGCAAGGCTACCTAGAGTAGCTGTATGATTGAGATAAATTTGATTTAGACTTTGAAGATGATTTGCAAACATGCAGTGATGAAAAGGCCCTTTTTTGCTTTTATTTTTACTGTTATTCCTGTTTTTTGTTTGTTTTGTACAGGGTTGAACTGCTTAGTTTAACCCTAATTCAACTGCTCGCATGATAGTGGTTTCAAATATCATGAGTTTGGAAAGATTAATCTCTGTGGATCTGAATTTGACTCCTGTTGATTGTGTAGATCATCGTGCTTAAAAATTTGATTTCTCTATAATGCAGAGGTCTTGACACAACAGGAGGAAAAGTGAACGTACTAGCCATCCTTAGTTTTGTTGTGTGGTCTTTTGTTCCTGAGCAACTTCTGTGGCCAAGAGGTTGTTGAATAGTTCCTGAACATATCTCATTCTAATTGAGTAAGGATCAACAGTGCAAGGGGCAATTTAACGCCCATATTCCCTCTTGACCATTGTCTGTGCTTAAGGGAGGTCAAGTCATGAAAACTTCACTTCTTGAGCTACTTGAGATTTCTTCCAAGAGCTGTATTTGCCAAGTATGCCATCTGGATTGGGGGAAATATGATGCTTGCTCAGACAATCACTGGATACTCAGTATTAGTGCAGACCAGGTAAACATTGTAACTACGGATAGATCTTGATCTACTTGAACCAGAGGTTGAGTAAATTGGCTTCTTTGTTTGAATTTGTCTGTTTTTGTAGTATTCAAATATGTAATTTTTTTTTTTTTTGTGACTTTGACATGGAGGTTTTTTTTTGCAATTAGACTTTGTTTTCCTCCAAGCCATTCACGTAGTTTCCTATAAGACCAGTTTGGTTTAAGATGGTATGCCTCATGAGGGCCTCTTGTTTTTTTAGTGTTCCATGATGTTGTGTGTATGATTTTGACACTGGATAATTGCACATTGCAAACTTTTAGTAAAACTACTTGTTTAGCAGCTATCTTTTGTTGAGAAGATAAGGTTGGTGACTTGACAGTGTTGGAAGGTAATTTCATTCTTTTGCAGTGGTGTGATCTTTAAAATATTTGGTAAGGAAGATGTCTCTTCCGACATGACTTCACTTAACTAATGGAAAATTACTCCAAAGCAAAGGAAGCATGGAGTCAAACCCTGAAATTGACTGACATAGCCAAATGATACTTCTGGGACATCATAAATCCTATAGTAAAAAGGACTTGAATAGCATGTGTTCCTTCGTTGAATGCAATAGCTATACGTTTAATGCCACAAAGCCAATGCTCATTTTATTTATTTGCCAGATGGAGGTCTATTTAGATGTAAAGATTTGTACTAGATACTTGTGTGTGATTCAACTGAAAATAAATAATTAATACAAATATCTAAGTACAGATATATAACAACAACAAACAAGTTTTAACTATAAAACATACCGTAAACACCCTAGTGGATAAGCTGCAAGCCAAGTTTGGCAAGTCAAATTTTGGAAAAAAAGATTTGAAAATATATCAAAAGAAATCACAAGTGGAGTCTTGAGAAAGTTATTTCATATTGGTTGTATCATTAAATGTACACCCCCATAAACTCTAACAATGAAAACTAAGAATAATTTGAATCCCTATCCATATTTGTTGCTGTAATAGTATAGACATCATATTAACTGACTTACCGACTCACTCTGGTATTGTTCAAGCACTATTTTGTCCATTCTTGTAAGATTTTTACTAGAGTTTTGCAGAAAAGAACTTGAAATCTTTTCTTTGTGCAGTGGGTTATTTCTAGCTTAATAGCCAGATATTTGATCAGGAGAAGGGATACTGGACATCTTATATTGCACATTTCTTGAGAGTGTGGCATATGTTTGTTCTGAGGTGGTAGACCACTGTTGACATGTCCATCTGAGGGGGACACTGTGAACAGATTTCCAGTGGAATGGAGATTCCCAGCTGGTTAAAAGGTCTCTTATCAAAGAAAGTTTAACGCCATGTAAAGCAATAAATAATTATAGACTTATGCTTTTGAGCAACAATAGCTCTTTTGAAAGGAAAATGGCTTATGAATTTGTAAGCATTTTGGTCAGCATACACCTACAGTATATGTGTGCATAAAAAGGTCATGGAGGGATAAGATGCACAAATATCTATATGGCAAGACCTGGGTTACAAATACATGGATATTATGATTGAACAATATTTTGGACTTTTCAGTGAGAATGATCAGAGAAAAAGTAAACTACATTTTTGTAGAATCAAATGCTTATTAGACATAAGTTTTGTCAATGATGGATGAGTAACATTGACTACAAAACAGGGTTTGAGCTAGGATTTGATCACTGGGGGACAATTTGTCCCCTTGGCTAAAATTTTGGGGGACATTTTTATTTTTAGGGGAACAGAAAAATTAATTTTTCAACATTTTTTTACATTCATACAGGCAAGCCAACAAAACATTTTTTTTCACCTGATCCTTGATACAAACAAGAAAAGTTAAGTTATTGGTGTGGAGACTTTTTTTGCCATATTTCAATGGAGGATCGATGACTATGCTTTATACTTCAAAACATTTCACAGCAGAGTCTCGTCCCAGCATCCCCTTGTAAACTTCAATTCCTTTCTTAATTACTGGTAGACGTACATGTACTAATTCTTCTGTTGGTTGTAGCCCAAACATTAAGGGCTGTAGAAAAGTCAAAGTCCTCGGAAGGTGGTCCCTCAATGTCAATGCTCATGAGCACATCTAGCCTCTCAGCTTTCAGTCTGCTTCTCAAAGCATTCTTAATTCGATTCTTTGCGCTAAAACCTCTTTTACAGCCAGCCGTATTAGTAGGCAATACAAGTGCGACTTGACAAAGCTCAATCAAATTTTGGACTTCATCGCTATGATGGGTGGCAAGCATTTTCCACAGTTCAGCAATGTGGCCCACGGGATAACGCTCTCCAGTCTTTAACAAAGTTCTCTTCAATTCTGCATTTTTCGGTATCCACAACTGCTGGTACATCTTTACCACCTTGGGTTTTCTTTGCAGATCCATAATGGGAAAGCAACGTTTCCAGCTCTTCATTTCCGTAGGTTGACAGATTTTTATTTTGAAAATGCACATTGCTGAGACGAAGAATCCCGAATGCATTAACTACATTTGTGGAATCTATGGGGATCTCTTTTCAAGATTTAGTAAGACATTGTCAAGGAATTTCATTTTCATTCATTCAAATTGTTGAACTTCATGGGCAGTCACTTTAATAGTGTTCTCTCTCCATTTAACTTCTGAAACATCATCTTGTGATGGCAACATCTCAGACAAGAATTTGCCGTTGTTACTCATAAGAGCTGTTATTATTTTTGAGTAATAGTTGATTTCACCAGTGCCTGAACTGATGCAAGCTCTACATGTTCCTTTTGCAAAGCAAGGCTCATGAGTGTGAGAATAGGAATCACATCCATCATCATGCAGAGGGTGGCAATGAAATTGAACTCCTTCAGGCTCTTTTTGAATCCACGGGCTTTATCATCATTGTTGGGTCGGTATTCCATGTAGGCCACAAGAAATGGCCAAGTGCGGTACATTGTCTCCAGAGCACCGTAGAATGAAAACCACCTGATATCAAACACTTCCTTGATTTTTAGCTCAGGATGTTCAAAGATCTTCTGATTGACTGTGACCGGAGGGCAGACTTGTCAAAATAGCCGTACAGAGCAGTAAAGATCTCTTTGAATTTTGCCAAATAAGGAATTCCATGAGCCGCTTGGCTAGTGCAAATTGCAAGCCTGTGAGCCATGCAGTGGACAGACACAACAAATGCACTGTGGTCCTTCATTCGTTTTGAAACTCCGTTGTTTTTTCCTGTCATGACACTCACACCATCATTGCTGAATCCTGTCATTTTGTCCTTGTGCAAGTATCTCCTTTCCATTAGCAAGTTAACAGCAGTGGTAATAGTTTCGACCTTTCCATCCCGAACGTTGATGTTTTCTAAAAAGTGCAGTTCTGGTTTAAATTCATTCAATAACTTAACATAAACAACAAGATTTTTATGATTACTGAAGTCTGTTGATTCATCGATTAACAGAGAAAAGAATGGGATGCCTTCTACCAGTTTGTCAATGTTAGACTTCAGAACAGTAGCAATAGCATCTTGCATACTTTCGGCACTTTGATGAGATCGATAGGTACATTTCCTCCTACTCAAAAATTCTTAACACTTTCGAGGCCAACTTTATCCAGAAAATTGAGCAGTGAGTTGTACTTGACTGTTGCTATATCCTCCTTGGTCAGCCAGTAGACGGCTCTCATTGCTGTAAGGATGGCTTGCGATTCTGCTCTAAAAACATGGTGCTGTGTGTTGCTGAACATATCTCTCATAGCTTCTTCACTAACAGCATCCTCATGTTCTTTACAGTCTTTATGTCTTTGCAGAGTTGAGGTTCTAAAATTTGTACACCCTTCTGCCGATGCAAAGGGTTTGTCTTCTTAGATTTCCGACAAAATAGCAGAACATCACCCTTTTCATAGCGCAACCATGTGTGATCTCGCTACCAAGTGTTCTGGAAAGTTCGTGAATTCTTTAGTTTCCTTCGATCCTCATCCGTTTCTTCCTGTTCTTCTTCCGTACTATTTTTTGCAAATTCACTCTGGCTTCGATTTGGAGCGAAAAAGCTTTCTAATGTTCGAACACATTTTCGATGTGACATGTTACACACCAAATGTAAAGTTCACCACGCTTGACTGAGCATGAGATGCACGTTTTCATTAGAGCGTGACTGAAACGTGACTTTAGATTGAACTTTTTAAAACGTGCGACAAAATATACCTTCCACGTTCTGTTTTAGATGTGGCTAAATTTCTGTACTGAGCTAAATCTCTTCGTGTGTGCTTCCTTTTGACCTTTTCCCCTAAATTTTGAAGGGGACAAATTGTCCCTTTGGCCACTTTTTTAAGGGACAATTTCAATTCCAGCATGGGATTGGCACAATGGTGCGGCCTGGCTCAAACCCTGCTATGAAATGTAATAAGATGGATTACTTCTGTCATTGCTGAATAAAGATTGGAATTGTTTCTTGCTATGAACTGAGGGAAGATTAATAAAATGATTTAAAGAAAAAAAAACTTGCAAACTAATTGATACTCAAGTTATCCCTGAATGATACAAAGTGATAGTAGTCATTAACTGCATTGCTATTAGACATGATTAATGTGTTCTTAAGCTAGACTGCTACAGATATGCACATCTATGACTTTAAAAAAATCATCCTTTCTATTCCCCTTTCTGATCTTGGCCATTTACAGTACAGCTCATGATAGGGGTCCTTTTGGCTCAAGTTCTCTGGTGATGATCTTCAACAATCCAGCACTTGAGATCTCTGACAAGTTGGAGTCCTGAAACAACAGATAGCAATACACTCCCACATGACATCCTTCATCACCTCATACTGAACTTTATTTTCAGGACCTTTTTTCTCTTTTAATTGTTTTGATGTTATCCACAACACCTTTGTTCCTTTTAGAGTTGGCTACCTCTGACAGTTCCATTTTAACCTGTTACTCAGGATCCTAGTGTCATACCAACATACCTAAAAGTCAGCTGACAGTATTTTCTTCCATTCTTTATTACATTCTTGTGCTATAGCAAGGAGGTGCTAACAGCTAAGCAAATTAAGATTAGGAACTGTATTGCTAGGGCAATAATTTGAGATACTTAAACAAAACTATTGGTCTGAACTGAATGTAAACTGCTTTGTACTAAGGTGCCAATTTTTCTCAAACATGGCCAAGGTCTTATCAGGATGTCCATTGTGTTTAAGAAAGTTTTGGTTGTACTTGAAGGCTTTACTTTCTTATGAACATTTTCACTACTTTGTGCTAATTAGGCCCCGCCATATTGTTCTTGAAGCTTAATTGGGATTCTTGTAAAAGTTTCAGACAAAATCATATCATACCTGCTCAGTAATTAAGGATGCAATTGGTGCAAAATAAAGAACAGAAATAAAGTGCAAGAGTTGTGTAAATTAAACGCTACATTACATTACATTACATTACATTTTTACATTTATATAGCGCAGACCTCTATGTGGAGATATTCAGTGACACTTAACAGTATTGTAAGGTTGAGATTAGACGTCAGCATTTTTATCAGGCACCTCTGGCAGCCACTTTAGTCCAGTAGCGTGAATAGCTAAACCTATATACACATACATCTTAATAAGACTAGGAGTGTGTGAGATGTGAAAGTAAGTGCTGGCATTGGACATGGAAGAGGACATTGATGAAATGATATGAGGCAAGATGCTTTGGTAAGCATAGGGGATGTCTTTTAAAGATGTCATTTAAAAGATCACGCCAATGTTGCTGTTTCAGCTTCATGGGCATTTGTATGTTCTCTCCCTTAGGGTATAGGAGTAACCCATTCTTTGAGGTTACCAGTCTATTAAAAGAGAGCTGACAAAGCCAAACAATGTAAATGAAGTACACAGGGAGCAATTGTGTAATTTGGGCATTTTTTTGTGGATGGAAATTTGTTGGGCTATTTTTGTCTAAGACTGGAATTGCCTCAGGCAACCCACTGATTGCTTCCAAAATGAAATATGTTAGTTTAATAAAATTGTTATGCCCCTAGTTTATTGAACTAACTCAGTAGCTTGTAAACGATTGTATTTATGTTCAATATGGGCTCATGACCTTCTAAAACGAATTGTAAGTGTAATCAAGAAGTTGATGATTATTTTTTGACAAACTGAAAGAAAACTTCTTTCCTGTTAGTAATGTTGTCCTTTTATAGTTCATTTGTCACTGACTGTCCTTGTACAGTAGAAAGCTATCGAATACAACAAAATGAATGTTTAACATGAACTTGACTGCTTACATGGACTATGTTAAGATATTTTAAGTCTTAACAACTATCTCAGTCTAAAAAAATCATTATTATATGTTGCCCAAAGACAAAGAATAATTCTCTGGGCATAATCACTAACAACACAATACCAGTAGCTGTAACTCTTAAAATTTTTGTATTTAACCCTTTAACTCCCATGAGTGACTAAGACAGAATTTCTCCCTACAATATCAATACAATATCAAGCAAACAAGTATGAGAATAAAGAAAACTATCAATAAGGGTATTTTTTTTAGTTGATCCAATACCAAATTATAACATAACCAAAGTAAAGCGCACGCTCTGATTGGTCCATTTAGCGTCCTCCATTTTCTCATGGGTGTACGCTGTAGACGTGAGCAAATACAAAGACTACTTTTCCGCGCGTGCTTGGTTTTTGTGGTGACATAAGATTTGTTAAATAAAAGGGAACTCTTTAGCTACAATGTATCAGTGTTATGTTATACAACAAATGGTAAACACCACAGCATACACTATTGAGTTATGGATGCACTTGGGAGGTTTGCTAAGTACTCAAGAAGCTAGAGTCTTTCTCAGCTATTGCCTTGAGCAACTCTTTTGCTTCTTTTGTGCTTAGCAACCTCCCGCATGCATCAATATCTCAATAGTGTACGCTGTGGTGTTTACCATTTGTTAATTCTCCAAACTTACATGATAAGAATTGTATGGCAGACAGTAAGGAGAATTCTTAAGAAGATATTGGGAGTGATAGGGTTAAACTTGAAGTCTGTTTATTAAATGAAAAATGTTATTATTAACTATAGATATTAAGATCTAGTTCTATGAACTGCGAATGACTTGTTTAGTCAACAATTTTTGTGGTAAAGTAAGAGGAGTAAAGTACACGATGTAGTAACCATAACTATGATGTAAATGCAACTTGAGTAAGATGAGTAAAGTACATGAGGCATCAACTATAACTGCAGCTTAAACAATGAAGTAACATGAGTGTCTGTTAAAACACCACAGTTTGTTTAGTAAACAAATAGAAAGTAACAATGTTGTGTCTTTGGAGTGTTTTTCGTTCCCTTTTTATTAATAGGCAGTATTCTTCATTTGCTATGTAAGTTCAATTTATATGGAAAAGTTTCCCATTAACTAAAATTGTAGATGATGTCTAATGCATCTGTTTCTAACAAGATGTCCATTTTATTGTCATCTGTCAGGTGAACATGGAGTTGGTTTTTTGTTGTTTCAAATATTTTTGCTACTTGTTGGTGAAAGACAGTGAGATCACATTTAGCTTGTGTGTTGGTGTTGTGTACAAACAATTTGACAGACTGATGTTTGCTTTCTGGGATGATATGTTGTAGGAGCTTACATGATTTGCACTTTAGTAATTTACCGCCTGCATCTGTCAGTTGTTTTGCCACAGGCAGTACAGGCATAAGTATGGATATGGAAGCATCTCTAGTAGTCGTGCCCATGACAGTGGGCTCCATTTCTGCTATTTGTTCTTCAAATACAGTAGATCCTTCTAGCTTGAAACCTTTGAGAGTGTTCAGATATATTTGTCTACTGCAATTGTCCTTTTTCACCCTGAAATTGGGGAAAATGTAAGTTTTGTCCAGTTGAACACAGTCAACTCAATCTTCCCATAAAACATCTGTAATCGATCCTGTCGTGCTGACTAGATTGGGGGTTGATTTGGTGAGGGGTCCTCTTTGGGGTCTAACTACCTTTGATCCCTACATGCTTTTAACTGTTGCTTTTAAGTTAACTAATTGTTGAGGAGAAGTGAACTGCAATGATTGAATAGTGACAACATGACTTTCAAGAGAATACAGTGGGCCAAGTGGCAGTGCTTCATGAGATGGAGTGATTGTTGTGGTGTTTTTATTTATAAAAATGATCTTAAAGTTATCGTTGAACTCAAGTTTTTTCATTTTTTAGTGGGGGATTTGTCATTTATTGCATTTCTCAGTGGTGCTGTCTTGTCTAGGGAAAAAGAAATGGCTTTGATCGTTTATTGTTTTTCTGTCTGTAAGTGACAAGACCATGGGCACAGCATTAAAGCTCTCCACTTATGATTTATAAAAAAATTGTGAGACAAGAGTAACAATAATATTGTTGTTAACTTCTAGAATACTATTCTATCATTCAAAACTGTTTATTTCAATAAATTATGTATTTTAGATTTGTAACATCTTTTTTAGTTTATCTCCAGTGGTTTTCAAAATCGTGGTAACGTGTGCTAGCAGATAGAAAACACGAATTAGATTTGTCAAGGAGTCAACCAACATCAAGGATCA